TTGTTGAGATTTCACGGTTGTCAAATGCAAAGTAGAACATTGTTAAGCGTGGAAGGAAATGATATGTGAATTTTCCGTTTTTTTAAAATGGGAATTTAAAATCCGAAATGTACAATATCTGCATGCAGCTCCTCTGTTCGAAAATTTTGCAGAACAATGTTTCTGTTGCCATTACAGGTCCAACGCTTTTACCACACGTCTCAATCAGTTTCACACATCTACAGACCAGAACTGTCGTCCACTGGTTGCGAAATAACTCAGTCAGACTGAGGTGGAAAACATTTATGAGGAGCAATTTTTAAAATCTTTCTGTCTGAACTTTGACCGTGTTGTTTTAGATCCAAGCCATTTCCCACCATTCCCTCTGACTGTATCTTTGCTGTCTTTTGGGAAACCTGCGGTTTCCCAAAAGGGAAACCGCAGGTTTTTCTGTAGCCTCTGGCAGGTTTTATTCTAGGATTACCATATTAGTAGCTTCATCCATCAGCTCTGACAAACTTCTCCATCCCTGCTAACAGAGCAGCTGCTTTTATATTGAGATTGTGCTACCCTTCGGTGAACCATATTTACTTACTAGAAGTATGAGAATAATAGGGGCTGACTGCCAATATATGCTATCATTTTAATTTACAGGTTTTTAAAATGATGCACAAATATTTCTCAACTAAGCAGTTAAGAACAGTTGTGGTATTTATGTAACATAGTGTGATTACCACTTCGATATGCTTTCTTTGAAAATGTCACTTTAAGTAACTTCATAAGCTCAACCACATTCATAGGCTAGAAATAATGAGCATTATTGTATAACTTGACAATATCAAAGTAGAACGACAATGTATTGCTGCATAGAAATATGTTAAAAACATAAGTGGATCAGCTTCTTTGTTTAACACCGACTATAAATAATGGCTCGATTTCAGAGAGGTGAAGCAAGCTCTTATAGGGACGGCTGCAAAATGCACAGAAATGCAAACATTTTCGCTGTTTGACAAGCAAAATCTAAACAGGGGCTTTCAGGCGCCTCCTACCATAAATACATGGCATATTCCTTCAAAAGCACCAGTTTTGTGGATCCATACAGATGTTAGCTATTCTCCTTTAAAAATGCACTTACAGCAACATTTAAAAAGACAGACGCAGAATATGTTGGACTTCGCTCACTCGCTCACTCTCTCTCAACTCTCCAAAAGGACATGTGTGTTTTTTTTCTCCTGTGAACTGTCATGCAACAGCGAAACCACTCTGCTGCTAAGTGCAGCGTAAGCAACAAACCACATGATTCCAATGTTTGATTAGTGCAGCAGAGACACAGAGGAGAGGAAGCAGTTTGTCATAAAGAGTTTGTGAGAGTATGGCGAACACCTGGCCCTGTGGGAAGACACGAAGCAGCTCACAATCGGAGTAAAAGAGCACCTTTAAAGGATTGCACTGTTTCCCTCCTCTATCATCAGATCTATTTGTTTTCACCCTAGACTGAGGCACCTTGTTTTTATCACATCAGGCTCCGCCAGCTACGTTAATGTAAAAAACTGAAAGGCCAGAAGAATGTTTATATATTTCTTTTTTTGTAATTTTCATGGAAGAGATAAAGAGAGCATTCAGAGACAGGGAGGGACGGAATATGTAGCCAAGACACGAGAACACAGAATTGCCAAAAGTTTTTTTTTCACCTCCTCCTTTCCTTGTTTTATGAATGGAGAAGGGCCTAGCAGTGGAATAATAAGTTCTCCAGATCCATTTGGAGGCATTACAAGCGTATGGTATGAGGTCAACTACAACCCACAAAGTTATAGCTGTTGAACGAATTGAACATCGCAAAGATAATGAAATCCATTTGTGGAAATTATTACTAACAATCATATCTATTACACTTAGAAGAAATGTGGGCTGATGTCTGGACTTAAAGTGTGTGCTTGTAAAGTGAACCTCATAGACTCAAAGCCTCCGGAGGCACGGAACCGCCACGTGAGGCAGCACGTCACCTCCGCCAGGCAACCAACAAGACTGTCCTTTTATCATCAAGTAATTCCTCAAGAGAACGGTGATTGGTCCGCAGTCCGGCTCTGTTTGCCTCCCAAAAGATTTCAGTTCTACAACACAACTTGGAAACTTCAAATCACACAGACATAACTCCGAGGGTGTTCCAGGCTGTGGGATGTGTCATGCATCCGAACCTCATTGCTAACCTCAGCAATGAGTTGAGCAATGGCCAAAGCGAAACTTTCAACAAGTTTGTTATGCAATCCATCTTAAGTTGTTATTGAGACTGGCAACACCCCAGAAAATTTTGTGGTACAGTTGCATCGTGGCAGATCACTAACCAGGCTCTCTCTGGGAAGAGAGTCATGCCTGAACTCTCAAATTCAGCAGCAGGAAACAGCTACTGCACTTGGAGGCCACTCAGCTTGTGTGGGTTTGTGTCTGCCTCGTTTCCCCAAACCCCTCTTGGGCCACCGACTCGTTTTCAGTCCACCTGGAAAAAGTGAATCATTGTGAAAGAAGTGTTTCATGCCGGGGAGTTCGGAGGTGAAGTTCAGTATTGCAGAGGGGGAAAGCCTTCCTGCTGCTGCCCCACAGGTCTCGTTGCGAGAGTAGTTATGCATTTCCCCTCCAACAAGAATTTCTTCTCGGTTGTGAAGGATCTGTAAATCAAAGGCAATTGTCTGAAAATATGCAAAGTCTCAGGTGGTCTCAGGAGATGGTGCAAAAGTGTACTTCAATCCCAAATTCCTGCAATGAAACATTTCCTTATGTAGCACCAGATGGCTGAACAGCTTGCAGTGGATGGAATTGAAAAAAATGCAGCAACGTCTACAAGGTTTTCAGAGTAATTGAAGTAAAATTCTGATTTTATTATTGAATCTCCCATCTGCCAAGTGAGATTTATCTGTCTATTGACTTTATTTATTTTTTTATGAAATGAAAGTAAATATACTGTACTCAGCAGAGCAAAACTACCTGTTATCTGTCAAGTGCACAGCTGTGAAAGCATAACTGATTCAGACAGTTTTTTAAACTATATGATTAAAGTATGTGATCACCTAATGTTTATTGATGTATGAGGAAATAACTTCAGTTCCCAGAGCTTTGCAGATCCTTCTCACACATAATAAGCCAGATGTAAAAAACAAAAACAAAAAAACAACAACCTGAAACACATAAATCAAGACTTTCTTCAGGTGCAGCCATCGTGTCTGTGTCAGTCAGGTCGGGAGCGCAGCGTCATCAAATAGGGGAGAAATTCGGTTGACTCGCAGCCTAAAACTCAAAACACCACCTGGATAAAAATCTCCCACACACATTTCTCTGTTAATGCCAGCGGAGTTGCCATTAACTCGGCTGGCATGTAATGTTGATGGTACTCTCCAGCTGACAGCCTTGTTATATTGGTACCGCCCACTGGACCAAAAAGAAGCAAAGCTCGAAAATGTTCAGGTAGTGCAGGCAAGTCCGAACTAGTGCCTGAACAAAGCTAAAGCCTGAGCAATGAAGGAAGGGTGTTAGCGGTCATATTAATGACCCTTAACGCGGTGACAACAAATAAAACTAACACAAAGTGACAATAAAACAAGTCTTGTGACAATCTACAAGATGTGGCTGCAGTAGCTGAGCTGTATTTACTTTTAAGACAGCTTTGGAAAAGTTAGTTACTGTGAAGTGACATTGTGGATGGGTGGTGGATTGCCTACTATTATTATATACAGTATATTTAGAGGTTGAGTCATACAGCCAGGAATAGTACACTGTACCATTACAGTTACATTGTCACACATTTTCCAAACTGAAATTGTCTCAGGTACCTTTCCAAAAATGTAATTTGAAGATAGAAAACTCGCTTTTGTGGCCACCATAGTCTGAGTGCTTCAGTGTTGTGGGCATAAACAATAAAAAAATAAACATATTTTGAAAGCGTATTTTTATGGTCCACTTATGCAGGATGTCAACATGATAAAATTTTAGTTTAAAAGGTGTTGCATGTTTGAAGCAAAGCGATGTTTAGCAACAATCGTTAATGATATAGGGAGTATTTTTCTTAGCCAGTGTCAAATGCCAACAGCAGCACTCAAAGCAAAAAAAAAACAACAACAAACAAACAAACAAAAAAAACAACATATTTATCAATGGTGGAAAGTTTCATATTAACTTTATTACTTCAAATGCATTTATTTTCAGAAATAAGAATGTAGAGAATGCACCAAAACACAAAGCAATGTGGCTCATCATGTAATAATTTATATTAATTAGAAGACCATTTTGTTGTTTTTAAGGAATCTGGCCTGCATTTGTTCCCCTCCAAGTTCATAATCTAAAATACCAAAACTAGTCAAACTGAGACTGTAGGCCTCCACTCTTTTTATGGTGTTCTTTTTTGATAAGAACACCTTATGATTGAGTTAAACAGGAAAAGTAAGCTACGAAGCTGGATCAAACCTGGATGACGTTAAATTACATAGAATAAGAGAGCTGAAGAGCATGGCTTGGCACCAGTATAACAGCTCAATCATCAGAATTAAAGTAATTCAACAGCATAAAAAAATATATCGGCTTCCACACATGTGTGCAAAAGGTCATTTTTGTTGTTTGAGAGCAGTCCATTCAAAACTTTCCAAGGGTTACAAAAAGACATGACTCGACATCAGTTTGATTCTATTTTTTAAAACTGAACAATTAATGTGCTGTCTCACTTTTTTTCTTTCCAAGTATATGCCATCTGAGGGGGTCGGGGTTCCCCCATCCAGGGGCGACATTAATATAAGAACCGCCACTGGTGAAGCTATTTTCTATCTAGTAAGTACACGAAGAGTTAGAAATAGAGTTGCGAGGTATTTTGCCCATCTTTAATCAAGAATAATAATAATAAAAAAGTAATCTTCAAAAAGCTTCTGAAACTATTTGCTGACATGCAGGCGTGGGGTTTGTGTCACAGCCTGCGTGATTGGCGTGCGTGCGTGCGTGTGTGTGTGTGTGTGTGTGGCAAATCTGCTACTGGTTTCCCATTCACAGACAGACAAGAGACCAGAGTCAGACACTGGGTGGCTTCGCAGCACAGGAGGGGAGATAAAAAAACCCCAAAAAAAACCCTCTCCTCCCGCCGCTGAGAAATCAACAGCGACCAGAGACGTGAAGTCGACGCGATGCCAAACACGAAATGCTACAGTTGAGTTTGAGGAGACGGCTACCAATAAGGAAGAGGCTCCAGAAAGTAAGGAGCGCGTGAGCAGTGACAGCTGGATACATAAAGCGAGGGATTAGAGGTCCGCACGTGGGGGGAAAGGACAGGGAGACTCGCTTCAACACGTCAGGTGAGTTCCGCGAAGCTTTACACCTGCCGAAAGAACTGCGTGTCAACACGACGTTTTACCCGCGAGAAAATAGCAGAACCTTGTGTGTGTGTGTTTTTTTTCTTCTACCTTGGCTTCGCGTTTAACAAGCGACTGCGTCAGCAACCTCTCCTGTCCACCACTTTGCGGCGATTCCAGAGCGAGCGAACGCACGCGCTCACCTACTGACAGTGCGCGTGACGGTGTTTTCTTGATCATAAAACTTCGTGAAGCTCGCACTGCAGACGTTATGAGCAAATGTTGTTAATGTTCTTTATCAGCTTCGGAGAAGAAAAACACGCTGAGAAAGTCGTCATTGTTTTGTTGTTGTTTGTTTTTGTTTCTTTTTTTTTCTTTCTTTTGAGCAAACAGCGGATAGTTGGCGTTAATAATTAATCAGGAAATTCCTAAAGGTCAGCCATATCTCAGTGCTTTTAGTCTTTATCATCTCTGCAGGTTTTTACGCTCCTTTTGACGTACTGGATTCCAGCGCCCGGGCTTTAATCATCCAGTATTTGCACAGACAGAGAGATGTGACTTGGAAGGGAAAAATATCCCAGACAGGGAACATTCCTGCCAGCCCAAATTGAATCTGGGTGTTGTCCAAACGGAATAGTTCATTGCCATTACTGGAGGCTGTGCTTCTGTCGTTCCACAATAACGGCTCTGATTTCCTGCAATCACGGTCTCAACTTGAAATTACTTAAGGGAAAATTGAATGCATTGCGTTCTCGATGGGATGTTAGTGGTCTAAATAAGTTGCAATTTGGGGTTATAGACTTGTTTTATCAGGGAGGTTTATTGCATTTCATCAGTAGATGTCAGGGAGGTTTATTGCATTTCATCAGTAGATGTATTGCAAGTGGAATAGAATTCACATTCAGGTGCCTGAAAAGTTATTAATGCAATTTTACATAACGGGAGATCAAATTTTATTGACTCATCATACTAGAACTATGGGGATTATGCCAAGCCAGAGTACTGATTAATCAAGTGCAGTGATGACCATGGACATTAAACCAGGTATTGGTACATTTGGCTGTGTTGACAGGGACTAAGTCCTGCTGGAAAATTGAAAAGGCATCAAAATAAAGCTAGTCTGGAAAGGGAAGCAGAAAGTATTGCAGCATGTAACTGGCTTCTCTGAATTTAGACAAATCGGAAAGACATCAGCACATGGCATTTTCTTTTAAATCATTACGCACTGTGGAAACATTTCAACTGGACCTCAAGCAATTTCTATTTCTCTGGTTTTCCTCCAAACTTTGGAATCTCACTTTCCAAATCAGTTCTGAATAGAGGTCCCTTGTGCAAGATAGTGCATCACAATCATTTCAGAAAATGTGGTTATCCATTAGAACCTTTGTATGTTTAGCTACACTTTTTCCTACCACTCAACTTTCTATTAATTTATCTTTTTATTAATCTTGTGCTTTACTCAAACTTTCTGAAAAACTCCATTTTGTGATTCCACTAGCTGTTAGACACGATCAGCAACATTAACCCATGTAAGTATTCAAATTTATTGCAAAATATGGATGCGTTCATGTGTATACCAAAGTCACATTAGGTGTACCTCTCTTCAGTGAAACTACTTAACCCACTTGAAATGATAAATTGTTTCTTTTCATGCCAGACACCAGGGGCTAATTTGCTCTGGTAAGCAATAAAACATAACTGTATATTATCCCCCATACTTCTTTGTCCACTTACAGTCATCGTTATGTGACCTGTTCAGCTGGCTTTGCCCGTGCATGTCTATGACTTAAAGTCATTTGGTAACATTTTCCTGTGGGCAGAAATGAAAGTATCTTCTGTTCTATGTCAGTTTATGGAGAAAAGGGAGAGTGTACTCGGCGTGCTTATTTTCCTACAAATTGACGCTGATATTTGAGGCCCTGGAGGAAGCAAACTCTCTGAGGCTGTAATCACCATTCCTGTCTTACAACAGTGATTTTCCTTGTGCTGTGAATGTCTGAAACTCTTTTTTTCTTTTTTTTGTATGCATTTAATAGAAAATTAACAACATAAAGATATGCAGCATCTTTACCTCAGAATTGTAGCTATTTTTTCCTCTAGGCACGTGCTCCTGTGCACACTATCTATTGTGGGCATACACAGACATACATTTGTTGCATCTCCCTAATGCACTTTCACATTTGTATTGTTAATGCCTCATGCTGTGGCCTCGTCACATAACAGAGTCATTGTGGTAATGATCCCTGCACTGTTTGAGGTATTGGTTAGTAAGTACACTGCATTTGCTTTTTCCACTATTTACCCAGTTCCATCTCAAATGTTTTACTGCTGTAAGGTGCCTGTAAACAATGAGCTCATTTGGGGGGTTGGCATGCTTTTCAGTGATTCATGCTGAGGTTAGCCCACATCCTTCTCAGCTTTATACCTTCTGCATCGACTGAGTCACCTGGGATAAACTGAGTGAATGTTTTCAGTGTGTGTGTTTTTTTTGTGTGTGTGTTAAGGGAAAATACTCTGGTCTTGTTCAGTATGTTAGTTTAAGGGAGGTCTATTCCTCTGAAGGATTTAGATTTTTTTTTTTACGTAATATACAACGCACCCCGTGGAATGTACTTTACTCAACTTTCTTTGTCTTTTGTCCAACACAGTGCAATGAAAATTTAGCAGATTTTTCTCTATAAAATAGCTTTTCCCATAAAATAAAAATAAAAATAATAAAGCTATTTGTAAACGTAAAAACATTCTGAGGCAAATTCTGAGCCACATAAAAAGGAGAGGTATGTCTCGGATAAACAGGGTATAGGCTCAATAAAAAATACAAAAAATTAAAAATGACTTCTTAAATAGACAGTCAGGATGTGGGCTTTCCAAATAGGATAATGTTTGAACATTTGCTTAAGGTGCATTTCCACTGCAGGAACCTTTTTTCAGGAATATGGGTAGTTTCCTAGAATTGTCTGTGTTTAGTTTTTTTCTCAGTTGTTTTGGCATTTGTTTATGCAGCTCAACCACATCAGCAGAGGTTGCTTACACGAGAAACTTGTCCCTGTAGGGAGTTTGAACATCTGGGATGGACCTAATGGTATTCACATTATACCCATGGTATTTTGTTTTTGGAGAGTGCTGAACGTTTCTGATGGCTGAATATTTCCAGAAATTACTTTTTCTTCCATATTTGAGTTCAATTAGAGCTTACGTCTTCTGATACCTTTACCGCAGTCAAATCCATCCACTCATATTGAATGTTGCAGTGGTTTGTGGGGTTTATGTCATAATGCAGCAGTAAAATCAGTCAGTCTTAGGGGAAATATTGCAATATTTCCCAGAGGTTTTCCATATTGGGTTGTGTGAGGGTGGTAATCAGTTCTAGTTGAATCTTTCCATAAAGTTTGGCGTAACCCTTCTTTTAAAGCATGACGGTTATGAAAAACAAAATGTTTCTACTGTTTTAAACAGAATCTTGTCTGTTGCAGTGGGTAGAGGTCTGTGTTCCCTGACAAAATAGAAGATTTAAGCAGAAAAGCATTCATTATCACCAAATTTTAAAGACAAAATATGTACTTCTTGCCCTGCATGCATTTTTCAGGCAAGTGGCTGAAGTGAATTTTTTTGCTGCGTGTTGGCTGAGCTCCACATTATAGATGGGTCGAGGAAGGTTTTTAATTCTGGAAAAATTCAGAGCAAACTTGTTCCTGCGCTTCAAAAGCATTCAGTTGAGGTGGATTGGGTATCTGACCAGGATGCCTCCAGGGTGCCTCTCTTTGGAGATTCGCAGGTAGACTTCAGAAATCGCTGGAGGGATTGTGTATTCATTCTGGTCTGGAACTGAAGGGATTGAGTTTTTGCCTCCTGGAAAAAACTCAGGAGGCAAAATGAGGAGACTCAAGCCTCCTTATTTGAGGCTTGTGCCTCTCATGAGCAGAAACCTTGATATAGCAGACATAGAATTATGCTCTTAATTTCTTCAAATAATTTGTAAATATTCAGTGTTTCTTATAGCAGAGTTGTACTGTTGCATACATAAAATGGAGACGTATCACAGTCTGGCACTAAAAACTTCAAGGCAAATCTTGAGAAAATAATTTCTGTTTTCTGACCTGTGACATTTAATATCTAGTCATATGGTGATGTTGGACTCCACTCATTCAGTTACTCTTACTGACATGAACCTCTGCTCATTTGTTTTCATGGACGCGAGGAAACTGGGAGTTTTTTCCCCCAGGTCTTGTTCGGAACTTTTGAGTCAACATGAAAGCCGTGTATGAAAGGCTGCAGATGGAGCAAAGTGTTTTGCTACGTCTCTGATACATCTCAGAGAGCGAAGTGCAGAATGACAGAAACTAAATTGTCCTCCCAAATTTCCAAAGCCAGCCAAATATGTGTGGGAGGAGTAGATATGAGCTGCTTGAAGAATACAATTAATAATTTTTTAGTAGGTAATCTGGACAAATCATTATGTCTTGTACTTTCACATAGCGTTTTTTTTTTTTTTTGTGCAGATATTATTACCTTAACAAATTTAGCTTAAACTCCAGTTTCAAGTAAAACCTCTACCACTGTCACGCTTGATTCCTGCTGCTGGTCAAACGTACAGTAATTCTTAGCATAGCTGCAGCCTTGCCAGAAAGAATGTTTGGGCGTTTGTTTATGTACCAGCAGTGTGTCAGTATGTCTGCTAAACAATCTTAGTTGAGTAGAGATGCTGTCAAAACGACTGCCTCAGAGAAAGAAAATTATCATTTGCAATTACCTAGAAGTATTACAAAATGTGTGGGCTCATCTGAAGAGAGCTGATGAAAAGAAATGCCTTCACAATTTGATAGATATGGAGAAATGTAAAAAAAACAAAACATTTTTTTTTCATTTTTGCTGCTTGTTTTTTAATATGGATGTACTGAAAGTTGAAGAACTCTGTACAACCCTCTGTCAGGACCTATAACTAATAACTTATATCTCTAAAAAATAAATGTTGCTGGATCAGGGTCAGAAAAATCTATTTGAAATCAAAACAAATCTACTTTAAACATTCATCATCTTTTGCCTTTACAGATTTTTTTTTCTCCATTTGTTAAATAACACTTCCTGATTACAGAAGGATCATGGTTAAAATATTTATATACCTGCTGTGTGCTGGCTGCTATAAGTTAAACATTTCGATCATTACTTCACTTCTGAAGTCTACGTTCTCTTTTGCCCAGTTTTGCGAACAGGACTGTGCACTTATTAAAGAAGTGACTGTGCAGTCTAACCCACAGACCTCACTCCAGTGAGGTCCCAAGGGACCAGTAAGATTTAACTTTTTCCCGCAAAGTGAGAGAGGAGCAAAGGAATGCAAAAGAAAAAGTACTGGTCCTTCGACTCCTGTGCACCATATAACCTCAGTTAATGAAGTGTTTTGGGTGAAAATGAGGTGACGAATAGTGCTAGATGCATGTGCATTGCCTTCACTACCACAGTAGCTCCTTGGCTACAGTTGCTCAGCCTCGTGCTGTTCGGGTTTTGTAAGACTTTACAAAGTCATACCATAAGCTGCACACTAGCTGGCTACATTTCAATGCCTGGAGATTTCAGTCCCCTCCTCCTCATATTCCTACTTGTTTTCCTCCTTGTGTCCCTGTCGTGTTATCCCTTCTCCCTGATGTTATGCTTCGCTGGGCCACCTGAGGGAAGATGTGTGCTAGTGTCGGCTTCAGGGGTAATATAGGGAGCTATGAGACTAGACCAGCTTTTTTGTTGATTTCTGACTTCTGTGTGCAGCTTGGTTACTAACATGAAAATTAAATGGAAACATTTGCTTGTAAGGAACTGTTCAATGTTGTATAAAAATCTCTAAGAGGTAGAAGGAAGAATTCAACGGTGTAAATGTCATTTCAAAGTTTGCTGTCTGGCTTTTCGTGCAGTTGGTCATCTGAAACGTAGACGTCTGTGATCCAAGTTCCCGCTGTGCTGTACAGAGCAAGCAAACTCACAGGTTGTCTGAAAAACAATCTGAAAACTTTATATTGCTTTATTGATCTGTTTTCTCAGGATACAAGATGCCTGAGGGACTGAGTGTAAATCTTAACTTTAAGTTTTGGGTCATTTTTATGTGGGGTGAAATTGTGCTGCTCTGATGGGAGGCTAGTGAATAATGCAGTCAAAGAAATTAATGCTCTGATACCAAAAGACACTAAAACTAGTTTTAGATCGGATAACCATTTGCCACACCATGTATTTATTAACATTCTTTTGTCAAGAACAGTCTCAGTCGAGCAGCAATATGCTTGAAAACTAGTTGATGTAATGTATAGCATAGACTATAGTCAGGAGCGCCATATAGGGGGGAAAAGTTATGACAATTCCAAGGGCCCCCGACCAACAGACGGACCTTCAAAATTTATTCATTTAATTTTTTTTTGTTCATAGAAATAAAAAAAAAATGAGGCCACTGTTTTCTAAAATTGTTTTTAGCAGTAAAAATTATTTTTTTGTCATGAGGCCCAAGATTCCTGGTGGCGCCCCTGGCTATAGTTAACACGTTCAAATGTACCCATTTTTAACATGTTTGTAGGTTATGGTTTTGTGATTTTTAACAGTGTATTCTAAGACTTTTTGTTCTGCTTACCTGATATAAATTAATTAAATCCTACAGGAAGTTTAAAAAACTGTTTTGTTTATGTGAGCAAGTGTTTTTGATGAGGGGATTGTTTAGTGGTATGCCTTGCTTTGTCTTGCTGTAGAGTAATTCATCCTCAGGTTGAGACTGACAGAGTGGTTTGTCAGCACTAAGGTGGCATATGTGGTGTATAATGTTAGCCGCTATGTGTCTCGAATGAATGCCTGCGGCTGAGACAATGATTAAGTTCTGCAGGACTCTTGAGGGCATTTAGATCTAAATAGCCCACTTCTTTATGACCATCTACTGCACTTGCAGGTAGTGAAACCAAAGCAGCATAGTATTTCCTGATATTAGACATACTGCTGCTTTGTCTTTAATGTGTCCCATCTGTCTATAAGATAAACATTTACTGGTAGATGTTGATGTGTAATGATGGGGGGGCAATTTTTGTTCTGCGTCAGGGTATCTTGACAGTTTTCAAATGGCTTTAGCTGAAGTCATTTCATTTTTGCAAGTACCTTCAGAGCAGAACGTAAAAACAATGTAGTTGTAAAGAATTTTGAAGAATTTTCTTTCTTTCACTTTTCATTTCTGTTTTAAAGTGGCAATAAGAGCTATACCAAGTTGCAAGTGTAAAAATTCAGATGTGGATTTTAAATGTGTAATTATTCAGCTGACACTTTGTTCATGGTCAGTCTTATTTTTCTGATATTTCAGATTTTGTGCTAGTTAAATATGCATACCTATTTTTTTTATATATATAAAAGTAACACCATATCAGGACTTTTGTGTTCTTCCTTCAGGATACCCACTGTTTCACCAGTCTAATTTATTGCACAAGTGCTGTTTTACACAACAGTTGGTGTTTGCAAGTATTTTTAATGATGCTGACCAGCATTTTGAAGCTGTGATAGATAAAAACCTGCACTGCAAACATGGCTTTCACATACCAGAGACTTTCTCCCGTTGCCAAAGAATGAAATGGTGCTAATGAGGCACCATGCCTGGAAATGGATGGATGAAAAAAGTTAGGATATAACTTCTGATTGAAGAATACCATTCTTGCTTCTTTTTCAGTGAAAACTTGGCCTTGAGTTAATATGCAAAGTCTGCGATATTTATGGTTTAACAGAAAGCTGGTGCAGCAAGCCAGAGGTTTTTATTGAGCAGTGGTCTTTCTGTAAAGTATTTAGAGATGCAAATACTGCATGTTGTTAACACAGTAGGAAATTTTCCCATCACAATAAGGTAACAAAAACTAGAACCCATTTTTAAATAAAAAGTAGTAGTTTGAATGAGGTGATATTTCTGTGCTAGATTGAGCTGATTCTTTGCTTAGATTAGAAATGATCTGACTTACAGATCTCACTGTGTGAATTACAAAATAGTCATGTTCAGCTACCTTAAAACAGGCAAAGTTATTCCCCAGAGATTGAGTCCACTTTCTCACAGTGCTGAATTTTGTCAATGTAATGTATATGCATGTAGTTTTGTGATGCTAAAAGGCTAATCACATTTTTTTGGCAAACTGTTGCTCACCATTGTTCATCCTGTTCGCTGGTTTGATAATCCTTTTTTTTTCTACTATAAAGTTAAACAGTTCGGAGACAATTATTGTCAAATTTTTACAATTATGAGTCTTCACTTAGTACAAAATAATGAACCAAGTATACAGTATGTTGTGGGTGTTGTACTATAATCTAAAATTAACACTTAATAAACTATTTTATGTAGTTCTTACAATGATATTTAAAATACATAGACAAGTGGTTGTATTTGATGGACTTCCAGAAGTGTGAATTAGAATTTGACTCTTTACACAATGCAGAACATCCTCTTTCTGCCTAATTAAATTTGCTCTGTCTGTTCTTCTCTTCTCCTCTTCATTGAAGATTGGACCCCTCCATCTAGTCGTTTTTTCATCTGTTTATTTCTGCCTGTGTCGGAGATGAGTGCCAAGTCAGCCATCAACAAGGAGCTCTTCACACCCCACGATGAGAAGATGCTTGCTGGCGTACAGGTGAAGAGGAGGACAAAGAAGAAGATACCTTTCCTGGCCACTGGTGGGCAGGGAGATTACATGACTTTCATTTGCCTCTCAGGTAGCAACACCTCTCTTTCTTTCTGCATGTAAATTTAAATTACTTTTATCGATACGTTTGTCACCTTCTGCATTTACTGTGCTTTTGCAACCATTTCAGCATTTGCAGCATGGCAAGCCCAAGTGTTTCTGTTATATTTTCACCCGCAGGCATGTTTATTTTTGCTGTCAAGATAATGCCATTCTCAATAAGTTCAGCCAAAAGACATGTTGTCAGTCCTACTTAAGTGGATTAGATTTGAATTTGAAGTGAATATTTAACTTTGAACTCTCTGTTTGTGGCTTATTCCTTCTTAGCAGCCGTCATCATCCCCATCCCCACTTTTCATAATTCACTCAGAGGTAGCTCAGCTCCTCCATAGCATGTTTTACAGCAGGTTTGCAACATGGATTGTACTGTGTTACATCTTCATTGTAAATAGTTGTTTTCTGCCTGTAGTCCATTGCAAACCTCAAAACGGTACTTAGCCGAAGTGCATAGTGATTTAAAGTTCAGCCTGCAGTCTTCACACCTGCTTGAAATTTCAAATAGCAGTCCGTTTTGACCCAGCAATCAGGTGTCTGCTAGAAAGTGAAAGATTGAGTGGAGTTTTATATTTCACCATGACAATGAAATTGAGAACACTTCAGATGAATTAAAAGAATGTATTGTGGGGAAAACAAAGGTTTGGATTGGTCTAGTCTAGACCCAGAACTGAATGTGATAGAAAATCTGTGAAGTCACTGAGGGGAGCTGTGGACAAGAGATGTCCTCACAATTTGATAGATTTGAAAAACCTTTGCAGGCAGGGTGAACATATGTGACCTAGTCAGGATGTGGCATGGCGGGTCACTGTCAAAGAAGGAAAACAAATCTAAAACAACCAAAAAAAAGGTGGTTAAACAAATTTAGTTTAAAGGTGCCTTTACTTAGTGTTTTTAAATAATGTTTCTTTTTCCATTGAATTGTACAGGGTAAATATCAGATACATATGTTACATAAATAAGTATATAAGTGATTTACCAGTGTGTGTGGCAGTTTCATTCAATACCCTGTAGCTGTAGACATTACTGTTTTGTTTTGACTCGAAACATTACGTATGTTGTAAAGCTGTTCACTATTTATCTATTGTGTTCAAAAGGTCTTTTACTCTAACACTACAGCTCAGAAGTTAGCTACATATTTTAGAAGAGGGGCTTTTTTAAGTCATTTATGAGTCATTTCTCATTTAATGTGGATATTATTAATGTTCACAGCTTGTAACGCTCACCTTGTCAGATGTTTAGGACCAGTTTTTTGCTTGGCTTAGAGAAAATTTAGGTTTCAGAATATACCTTTTTTTATTACTTTCACAAATGTAAATGTGTGCTGGTGTTTTCGCACCTAAGAACTCAAGTTGAAATTTAAGTGAGACATTTCAATATTAAACAGAGCTTAAACAGAGTCAGATCTAGAAGTTGGTTAACACAGGCCCCAGAGGATGGGAAATTGACACCACTCCACTGGAATTAAATTAAGCATTTGAAGTGACATCGTATGAATCATTGAACAATGGCCATGCACATCTGGAAGATTTTAGTCTATCATTTAGTATGTTTAGAATCCATCTGTTATTTTAACACATCTTGACCTAAAATAGCATAATTTGACCAAACGTTCATAAAATTTTCACATTTATTTATTTATTTTTTTACATTGGGTTTATTTATGTACTATATGCATTTCATTATTATATTCTTGAAAATGATCTAATGAATTCCGGCTCATTAAAAACCATGTTCTCATTGCTTGAATAGGCCTGTTTCCCCTTCTGGAGAAGATAAAGTTACTACGAGCTGACATGAAAGAAAGATTACAACATTCCTCTCACTTTTTCTGGCAGACTCATCTGGTTTGTTTGTCTTCCTATTTAAGGCGTTGTCTGGTTAGCAACCACTACACTGCTTATTGCAACCATGTGTAAAAAAGACTTTATTGCCTCCTTATGATGGCAGTATAAAATGTTATAGTATTCAGTTACAGTACCTTGAAAAAGTACTCAAGATAATGAGTATTCATGACCTTTTTCGGAATTGTTACAACCACAAACTTTGATGTTTTATTTGCACACAATTGTGAAGTGGAAGAAATGTTTTATTTTAGTATTTATTTGTTTTACTTAAAACTTGAATGTGCCTGTGTTCAGCTTCCTGATGCTTTGTAGAACCACCTGCCCTTTTAATTATGACCATAAGTTATTTGGTATATGTCTCTACCAGCTTTGTCTTTTTTCCTAAAGGCTGTCAGACTAGATGCACAGTATCTGGAAATAGGCAATTTTCTAGTCTCGAAACCAGAACATTCTCAATTAAATGTAGCTTTAGACTTTGACTATGCTATTCTAGCTATTAAATTCATTTTTTGTTCATAATCAATAAATTAATCAATCAAATTTTATTTGTATAGCACATTTCAGCAGCAAGGGATTTCAAAGTGCTTTACATCATAACAAACACAAAAACGCAAAGTCAGGCAACATAAAATCATCAGAACATGACATTAAGTCAAGTTCCATCATTAAATATAGAATTGATTACATTTCAAATACAATTCTAAACAGGTGGGTTTTTTTCAGTCGAGTTTTTAATGTTCTCTCGAACCTCTGAGGCCTTCACGACAGAACTGGATTTGCACTGAGATTAAATTGGACTCTTGATGAGTCCAAATAAAGTTTGTTGTATCTGTATCTCAGATTAATAAGGGTTTCAATAGATTTAAATAGGCTGGATTCTATGTCACCCTGCTTAGATTTTTACTTCAGACATTTTGAAAACAAAAATCTTGCTACCAGTAAAATTATGTTTTGTTTAAGTGGGATAAATGCTTTGGCAGTGAAACAGCCAAAGCATTTTGGCTGATGCATGAGAAAGCTCATGCATCAGTTTTTCCAACTTCTCAAATCTTCATCATAAGATCAACCAAAGTCTCTAATACAGCTCATATGTGAGCACACATGCTCTGCCAATATGTTTATGAATGTTTTCTATTAGGAACAAATTTTAAATCCCTTTAAAGTTATTTTAGTGGAAAATTTCTAGATATATTCTCATGAGTCTGCACTGGAGTCATGGAGTTGATCCTGGCTTATGAATGGAAGAGATTGATGTGTGAAGTTAAGGACTGAAGCATTTATTTACTGCTTATGCAGCACAGATGAATTGTTTTTTCCTGTTTTGTTCTTGAATCAATTTAGGCTGTAAATTGTTCTTTCCTCCCCCCACCAGTCAAAATAGATAGAACAGACATTTCTAATCCTCTAATAAGAGACAGCAAGCAATTTAAAATTACTTTTTTTTATACTTTATTTTTGTCATTTTAGCAGTTTTAAAGATACACATACACCGTGTTCCAAATTATTATGCAAATTGGATTTAAGTGTCATAAAGATTACATTTTCTGTGGTGCTATTAAATTTATAGATGGTATTGTGTGTCTGGGCTCTTTGAATCACTGTAGTTAATTTCAGAGAGCTGGTTGATTAGTTTGTCTGGAGAGCTCAGTTAAAGGAGATTTATTTAAGAAGGATGTTCCACATTATTAAGCAAGCCACAGGTTTCAAGCAATATGGGAAAGAGAAAGGATCTCTGGTGGTGAAAATCAACATAGTGTCGTGCCGTGTGACAAGATATGAAAACATTAGATATTTAATGAAAACTCAGGCGTTACCATATAATTTGGAACATGATGCACATACATTGAACAATTGGACCCCCCCTCCAACAAAAATTACAGAGCAACTAGTTTGACAGGAGCAGTTGAGTAATAATCAACAAAAAGTAGGTAATTACATTAACTATACAGCTGGTGTCAAGCTCTGATGAATGTTCAATTTCTTCCAGTACTTATTGTATTTATAGTGCATGAATTTCCAGTCCAAAAATGATGTTTCCACATCAAGCCACTTCCGAATTATGGCTTTCTTTGCAGCTGCTAATAATATTAATAGGAGACATCTATCAGACTTCTTCAGATCCTGGGGTAAATTACCCAGGAAAACCACAGTGAAATAAGCAATTTAAAATTTTAAAATGAAACAGATCCCTACCTGATAACACAAAATGCCCTAACTTTCACAAGTAAGAGTTTGCATCTTGTTGTAATTGGAGCCGTCTCATGTGTGAGTAGAATTGACAATTATCTGCTAAATAAAAGAGCTGCTCCACCAGGCTTGCCAAAATACATTGATTTCCTTTCTTCAGTTGAAAAATCTCCTGACTCAGCTGGCGTGTTGTAAAACACGTGGGATTGCAGTGTCTAAGGCAAGATCACAAGATCTCGTGACTCCTTCTTTTTTTTCTTTTTCAGCCAATAAAGCATTGTTCTGAGCTTTACTCATGAGTTTCTTTGTGTGTACTGTGCATCGAAACCATGAACGTGAAAGCAGCCAGCTCATGCCTCCTAAGAGCTCGTTGGATACAATGGGACTTTGAGCGTACAGCATGTGTGTGATTATCTGTGAGAGCACACTGTGTGTACATGAGAGGAAGAGGGGGAGGGGAGTCACTGACAGCCTCTTGGTTACAGTAGCAGAGAGTTGATGCCTGAGGGCCGTACAGTGGCAGAGTTACGCAATCTGTGGGATGTCATTACTGAAGAAAACCCACTGTGTTAGAAGCTGTCCTGTGAATACCCCCACAGGCGCCTCACTATCAAACTGAGCCAGGCGAAGCACCAGGAGATCACTGCTTTTCTCATTTCTAATCTCATAGCTGAGGTGCTGTCACAAGAGAGAGAATCAAAGGATCTTCAACTAATATGTAAAAAGTCTCATGCACACAGTTTTAAAATGGTAATTTGTAGCAGATAGTCCTCTTGCCTGTAGTTTAAATTATGCAACTTCCCCCTGTGGGTGTAGTGTTTAGCTTTAGCTTTCTTGTCAGTGTGGGGATTTGTAAGGCTTTGTTTTGTCTAATTGCTGAAAGCATGTTTGTATTCTGCAAAGAGTTGAGTTTATCACTGAAATACACAACAAAGAGCTGAGG